GAGAGAGAGAGAGAGAGAGAGAGAGAGAGAGAGAGAGAGAGAGAGAGAGAGAGAGAGAGATGCACCAACACAAAGTTTGTTGCTTTGGTCTTGCTTTGAAATAGGAGGATGGCAGGGCATCGGGTTATCAAGGATGCTCGGACTGATTAGAGCCCCACTTGAATCTGACCCTTGGAATGGTGAGGAAAAGTCAAGTTGTAGTAATTTTGCTATCTGAAGGCTTTTTTGGATCGCCCCCACCCGTACCTGTACCTGTACTTGTACCTGCCTGATGCATGAAGTGCCACATTATATAGCCTACATAGTCTATAGACAGAGACGATATAATACTCACAGGTTGGGAGTTGAAATCCTGTCGAGTTCAAATCCTGTTGGCTACTATGTCAGTATCCAGAACGTCGCACGCCAGCCTCCTTACCAAAGAGCCCTCGGCTTCTCTCACAACTCGCAGATTTCTTAGTTTAGCCATCAGGAAATTGTAGTTTTACCTCGATCACCTGGCATTGTTTTAGGTAATGGCTGGGCGGGACCACCGCCCAGAATTCCATTTTGTCTCCGCATCTGGTGCTAGGAGGGAGGGTCCTTTCCAAGCAGGGAGAGGAGGGGGAGTGGGGAGGGGGGGGGCAGCCACTCACCGAGACATAGTTGCGCAACCCCGTTGGATCCTTAACCAGACCCTTTAAGTTGTCTGACAGCATTGAGGGCTCTGCAAACCTCTGCAAAAACCTAAAGTTGGCTTGTGAGACGAGGCGTGGAGATGCTCGTAGCTTTATCCATTCCAGAGACCTGTGTTCCCCAGTCTAGTGTCGTACCTCAGGGAGTACCTGGACTTCCTGTGTTTTCGCATCTTGTGTTTCCTGATAGTTGTTCTCATGCAACAGTTACTTGTTCATTAGAAATTCCAGTCACTCGTTCATCTCTGCCACTGCTTGAGTCTGCAATTCCATGGTGTTTCTTGTGCATCCATAAGCATCACCTTCTCCAACAGAACATGTCTGCACAACCTTCAGGCGAGAAGCATCCCTCGCTCAGAGAGTGGGTTCTACCAGCTTCCACGCCGATGCTCATGCATAAAATGAAGGCCCATCTGCACCGTTCTATGGATCATTCTCAAGAGCTTTAGGCATGGCGCTCCATTCTTCTTCTTCTTCTTCTGAAGGAAGGGGGGGGGGGGTGGGTTGGGGCGGGTTGGGGGGGGGGGGGGGGGGGGGGGGGGGGGGCGGGTTAGGGTGTGTGGGGTGGGATAGGGTGGGTGGGGATGGGTACGATGGGATACGTAGATAGATAGATACATAGAGAGAGAGAGAGAGAGAGAGAGAGAGAGAGAGAGAGAGAGAGAGAGAGAGAGAGAGAGAGACTTCCTTTTTTAGTGATATGATTTGGAACACTTCTTTCTGATACAGGTGAAGCTGCATTGGCGGATGATTGGCCCTTCTTGTATTGGGTTTCAAACTGGGCTACAAGTGTGGCCCGGGACCACCTGCCCAGCCGGGCCAAGATAAAGTAATATATATATATATATATATCATCAAATATATATATCGTCACAAACAGAACTGCCCGGTAAACCGTAGGCAGAGAGAGAGAAGAGGACAACAAACGAGGGGCTGTGACAAACTGTT